GGAATAGCTGGGTCCAATGGGACCTCTAGCCCTAGTTCTTTGAGGTATCTCCATACTGATTTCCACGGTTGTTGCACCAGTCTGCACTCCCACCAACAATGGAGAAGTGTTCCTTTCTCCCCACACCCCTGCCAGCATTTGTTATTGGTTGATTTCTTGATAGCCGCCATTCTTTCTGGGGTGAGGTAGAGGGATGACATCTTTGTAAACTACAAACACTAAAAATATAAATCATTTATCTTTAATCCTTTATTTTGATAAATATATCAGAACATTCATTTTTCTGTCTGAAGTCTTTTCATGATTGTAATAATTACAATTTCAAATAATAAAATTAAAATATTTTTTGTCTGATAATTCCAGAAATATTAATAAATGCCAGAGACCTTGGGTTGCTGATATAAGGTTCTGTTTTTGGCAGTTGACTGTTGGGATGGCCCAGATGGAGAGCCAGTAGTTCACCATGGTTATACTCTCACTTCAAAAATTCTCTTCAGAGATGTTGTGGAGACCATCAACAAACATGCCTTCGTGAAGAATGAGTAAGTACAGCCTGTGGAGTGCTGCCTGGGATGAGATGGCTACAGAACCACACAATCTTCCTTGGACTTTCAATCTTTTTTTTTTTCTGCCTCTACAATGCCCTCTTGAAGATGTCCTTGCAGAGTGACCTCTCGATTTCTAATCCCAGGATGCAGAGTGCCCATAAATTCTGGAAACACCAGTTTCTTTGGATAATAAGTAGCATTTTGATACTACATTATAATACCATAAAGTAGTTTCTAGGTTTCCACCTAGATGTCTAATTTTTACGGAAGTGTCTGATATCCTTATGTTACTTGGCTCCTCCTTGGCATTTGATAATGCTGACTATTTCCTTCCCAAAACTTGCATTTTTAACTCCCATTAAACATTCTCTCCTCTGTTGCAGTCATTGCTTCTCTCCTTTTATGCCTGTGGTTCTATTCCATTTCCTCACTGTCATAAGAGTTACTATTTTCTAAGTTGCTGCCTGGTTTACTTTGGGAATATTTATCTAATTACATGCCTAGAACTTTCCTCCTAAATTCCAGATTGATATAGAAAACCCCTTAGCAAATATTCACCTGAGTTCCCATCTGTGTGGTGCTCTGTCAGAATTGCACTCTGCCAGACCTCCTCTTATCCCTTGTTCTATTTCCTTATAGTTTTGAGGCAGAAACTGGGAGCCATGCTAGATTCAGCCAGTTGCTCTTAATTCTACTTGCTAAGTTATCTTTGACTCCATTGCCTTCTCTTTATTTTTATTTCTCTTTTTTTTTCCATCCTCCACACTGGGGCCGTAGTTTTCTTTCTGAAATATATGCATGGTGTTGTCATTCTTATCCCAAAGTCCTTCAGAAGCTCCCTGAAGCACACAGGATATCTTCATGTCCTTCAAGGCCTGCCTGTGTCCTTCTCTTCTGTTGTCTTCCTTGCCATTGATCTGCAGAGACTTAGCATTCTGCCTTCAGCAAATGTTTTTCAGCTTCCTCAGTGATCCTGATGCTTTTACAACCCCCACTCTCACATATACTGTTATGTCTGCCTCCCCCTTATTCAGTCCACCATATTCTTGATTGTCCTACAAAATTATTTATCCATTGTCCCTGTGGCAAGTGTACTGACCCCCCAGTTGATTTAAATCTTCCTTCTCTGTTTTAGCACCCAGAACATATTTCTGTCATATCTTATAGCACCTTGTTAAATTGTAGTCACTTGCCTTCTTCTAAATCTGTAAGACTGTGAACTCATTGAAAATATGGAGCTACATTTTAGTCATTTCTTATTCATTCTTTGTTGCCTAGCAGCTACTTGCAATATACCAGATACACAAGAGAGGATTTTTGAATTAAAAAAACAAATTAAAATTACAGTTGCGTAAAATTAATATTTTAGAAGTTAGTAGTCTTTAAAAATTTTAATTTTTGATCTTATTAATTAACCATGAAATTAAAATGTTATTCTAATAAGAGATCTGCAGATTTAGTTTATGGTGTCTTCTACATAGAAGATTCTTGAGTACTAATTTCTGATCAGTCTTCACAAGCCTGATTTCTATCAGTCTTAGCCAAGTTGAAGGTATTTATTTCCAAGTATATAAAATATTATGTTGAGAAGGCCTGAAACCTATATTCTTGGCTGTTTACTTCAAGTTTGGAAAGCTCTAGAAGAAATTCACTTTAAATGAAAACAATATGCTTCTTCAGCACATTAAAAAGGTTGGCTTTTTCTTTCTCTTTTTAAAATTTTAGGTGCGTCTTTTCCCCAGGGATTCTCGACTCGGGCACTACTGACATTTTGGACTAGTTTTTTGTTGTTGTTAGTATTGTAGGGAGCTATCTCATACATTGTAGAATGGCTAGCAGCATCTTGGCTTCTACTCACTAAAATCCAATTGCACTCTCTGAATTGTGGCCACCAAAAATGTCTTTAGACATTGATAAATGCCCCTTAGTGGGAAGGTGTGCAAAGTCACCCCCTCCCTGTAAAGTGGAGAAGAACAACCTTACATTAAACATCACTAGACACTAATAGGCTTTTTATTTGCTATTAAAACCCCTGATGTGATTGCAGAATGACTCAGGGTTGCTAGTTTGTTGTTTTCTCTTTATAACACTCTAGGGTAAAAAATCATGTGATGACACAAATAACAAACAGATTGTAGTCAGATAACCAAACCAATTTTATCACAAGGATCCCTCTCTTAAAACCACCTCCAGGATCAGGTTTTACTAATGGGGACAGAATGTCATTTGAAGAGGTCATAGACTGTATTGTGGAGCCTGCACTTATCGTAGAAATGTAGAAAAAGATTTTTCTCCACATAAATATATTTAGGCAATTTAAATATAGTTTGTATACTCTGGAAAAAATAAATTGCCCAATATTCCTGAAGATGCATGATGGAAACCAGAAAACAAAATCTATAAATCTGCCTTGTGATAATTTCTAAGAAAAGAACAAAGTTGAGAGTAATAAAAGTACATCCTCGGGCCTAGTTCTCTTTCTCCCTTGACCACCGATGTTTCAGACTGTCTTTGGATTATCGCTTTAAGTGGGTCTCAGATTCTCTGTACAGAAACCTGCAAGCTGATATAGAATGAGTGGTTGGCAATTGTTTTTAGTAGAGACTGGTATATAATACTATAAATTGACCTTGATGCCTGACACAAGCTGCTATAAAACACCGAGTTCCATTATGTTTTTTTATCCTCAATAGTAATTTTCAAGCTGGGGACTAATTATATATTTTTTAGAGTAAATAATTGCATTTAATGATACTCAGTGGTTGCTTAGATGAATCTAGATTTTTGCATAAATAAAACAATTCCATTATGTGAGGTTGTTTTCCTTAGGCTTCTCATTTCTTTAAAATTTTTTCTTTTAAAAGGTATATAATGTGTTCACCATTTTTGCCTGATACAAATTATTAAATTAACTCATCCCACATAGATTGGTAATTTGTTCAGTCATTATGCCTAGCAAAGTATATTTTCTCAGGGAAATTTTTAAAAATACATCTGTATTCTTTCATACTTTAGAAGCATTTTAACCATCATCACTATTGATAGCCTGAAAGAACACAATGATTACAGAATCATTTAAAAAATCTCCGTAAGTCACCTATATCTGATGCCTTTGGAATGTGTTACTGTTTCCTCAGGTTCCCAGTTATATTGTCTATTGAGAATCACTGCAGTATCCAGCAGCAAAGGAAGATTGCTCAGTACCTGAAAGGAATATTCCGAGACAAACTGGACTTGTCATCTGTAGACACAGGAGATGGTAAACAGCTTCCAAGCCCTCAAAGTTTGAAAGGCAAGATCTTAGTTAAGGTAATCACCTTAAAGAACTCAATCAAGGGTATTAATAGTCTACTAATCCTTCTCTCCCTTACTGACTGTAAACTGGCCTAAAAGGACAATGGTAATTAGAATCAATGCTGGAAGGATCTTCTATATCTGTACATGCAACTATTTCAGATTTGTAGTCACTCCTTCAGAGGAAGATTATTGATGACTGACCACATGTCCTGGGATTTGATTTTATGAAGTCATAATGTGAATACAGTAAGCTAAATGTGTAATATTTGGGGCTGTAAGAGTTCACATTAGAGGGAAATGTATGTATAGGAGTGTGAGGTGCAGGAGAGAAGATTCCTTGAATTCATATCTGAAAGCATTTCATTCAGATTCTCTTTTCCCATTTCAAGCTCCAATAACTTTGTCAAAAGAAAAACAAAATCTTCATGGTTGACCAGTCTTGGTTATGCAAGTGAGAAACACTTGCTTCAAAGAGGAATGCAGTCAGAAACATGATGCCCTGGAGGATGCATGTGTGTACAAAGTGGTGGGTGAAGAGAATGACATTTCATAAACAGTTTTTTTAGGGGGGAGTAAACTTACTACAATGAGTATTATCCATGCAAAGAATAGTCAGACTGTTCTTGCATTTTCAATTTGCTAACTTTGTCATTTTACTTAATTCCAATGAATTTTGTGTTTGTACTAAAAGCACCTTGGATGATTGCAATTTTTTGAGATTGAAAAACTAAAGGAGAGAGCAGTAGACTGTTTATGTTAAAAGTGGGTGATATTTTCTCAAAAGGGGTGTATACAACATATCAAATATTTACATAGGAGAAAGAAAGAAATTAGTTACACAGCAAGACTTTAACTGGGGCTTTAAGGGAAGGTAGCACATAGAAATGATTGAATTATTCATCTTTACAATTGGTCAAAACTTATTTTTTTAATCAAATAAGTGAAAATTATAGATTCAAAATCTGTTAAAGATGTGTTAGCATATATTTGCATATGAAAACCTTTTTTTTTTATATTGGAGATTGAACTCGGATCCTTGTGCTTACGGGGCAGGCGGCAGAACTACTGAGCTAAATCCCCAGCCCTAAAAGCCATTTTTAATAAAAGCTCCATATAATGTAAGAAATAACACGAAGGCCAATTTGCCCAAGTCTTGCAAAAGCCAACTCCTGTGTTAAAAACTGATTTCTGGGTTAAGAAATGAAACATCACCTTTGTAGTATTGTAAATGTTTCTGTATTTCCTAACTGTTCTGTAGCCAGCATTCAGTAACTAAAACACAGAATAAGGCCATTTGATTGAAATCTTTCCTTGTGGAGAGTGGAACTTAGATGGCTATTTTATGTGAATTAATTCAGTCCATCCTGTACAACTGAACTTTGGAGGACTTGGCACAGCATGTCCCAAGGCTTATGGGCACCAGGAGAATCAGAGGCAGAAGGTCTGAGGCATTTATTGAATCAGTATGAATGCCAGCATTTCAAGGGTGTCTGAGATCCGCTTGTTAGTAGTAACATTTTTTAAGGAGGTTGTCTGGATCTGTGGACCAACAGATTCTCAAGTAGAACAAAACCAAAGGAGCTGCTTTTCCCAGGTTCCTTTGGCATCAGAGGGATCAATGGCTTCTTGACACTTTGGAGATTAACAAGTTTTTTTTTTATTATTATAATGATTACACACACTTTCCAACAATGTGTATAGATACATTTACACACACACACACACACGCACACACAATCTCCTGAAAAATAAAAGGGTGCTTTTGAACAAAAGTAACAACCAACATAGCAAGTTTTTATAGACTGTTATTGCTGAAAAACACTGTAGCTCTGTGGTCCAAGGTCCTTACTTTTGAACATGTCAGTCAGAGAGATTTTTACATTCTCCTCAGGCTACCCAGCCTAAAGGCTTGAAGCAAAAGGTGGCCATTGTCACAGTCTCTGGTAGTTTCTATTCCATGGATGATTTAATCTAATTGTAAAGTATAACTCCTGCATAAAATAATGTCAATTAGAACAAAACCTCCAGAAGACCTGAGTCATATGTCATTTACATCTACTCTGGACCATAGTTAAGTTCATTAAGTCACACAAGACTCTACTACCTAAGTTTATTCTTTAATTTTCTGTAGGAGTAACACTATTGATAAGGGACATTAAAAACACAGTCTTTTTTGCATTATTTTTCTTCCAATTTACCTTGGTAAAGTAGCTATTGGGAACCAGAAATATAGAAAAGCAGGCCAAAAATATGACCCTCATGATGCAGGCTCTTTGAGGTAGAGTTTAAAAGGACCGAAGAGGGCATATTGTGAATACTCTGAGAAGGCAGCCTTTTCTTTTTATTGCCTCACCCTGTGCCACCTTTGAAGAAAGAAGCATTGAAGTTTGGTCCTGTTGCTTGGCCTGCTCAACACCACCTGCTCCCCATGGCCACATTTTCCTTTCCTTGCTGTACTATTTGAAGATGATATTCCCTTATTTGATGTTGTTATTTCTCATATTTGTTAGTTTTATTCTACAGATCATTTAAAAAATTTATTTTAATACTATTTCAAAAAAGAGCTATTGTTATTGCATTTTAGATGTCTTATGTACAGGCACATCCTGGCATCTGCCATTGTGCCCAAGACAAAGTCGACTTTGAGTAAAAGATTGGTGGTAAATAAATAAAAGATGTTAATATCTTCTATATTATTTTGAGTACATTTGGCAACTGTGTAACTGACTACCTTATTTCTGGTGTTATCATATTATTATAGTTAATCTGTGAGTGCTCCCTGAAATAAAGAAAAATAAACTCTCTTTATAGGAACTTTCTATATCATTAATACCTAAAATAATAATGTAGAAATAAAAGCCTTAATTCTGAGCTGCTCTGTTACCAGTGATACTCAAATTAGATCCCATCTTTTGATTTTATAAATGCCCTCTGTAAATTGAAGAAAATCTCCAAATCCTCCAAATTTGATTATTATTGATATTATTTTTATTACATAAATTATTTTTTCAGAGCATTTTCTTTATTAATAAATGTTTGCAGTGCATAATGTTTACACTCCTTGTGTGGAGTTGGTGAAGGTACATAACTCGTCTTAGTTCCATTTTCATCCCCTGTCCCTGCTTCCGCTTACCTCCATCTCTTGATCCCTTTTCCTTTGAGAAAGATCTGTCTCCCTACTTCCTCCTATTTATGTTTCATTTTGCTCTTTCTTTATACTTTGGGTTTCTCATATAAGAGAAACCATGTGATGTTTTCATTACATAAATTATTTAATCAGCTTTGAAACTATCACTGTGCTAAGGACCCAAGGTCAAGAGCTTATATATTGAGGAAGGTTTAGGAAAACTAGGATAGAGATTTCGCTCAGGACCTGACTAAGCAGATAGTTCTGTTTTGGGAAGTAGTAAGGGGCAGAATCAGAATGCTGAAGGAGACTAACAGTAGTGTGGAGGGCAGGTGAATTAGAAGTCATCAGAGCTGGGGCTGGGGATTTAGCTCAGTGGTTCCACCGCCTGCCCCGCAAGTGCAAGAATCCTAGTTCCATCCCCGGTACCAAAAAAAAAAAAAAAGTCATCACAGCTTGAGTTTAGAGATCAGCCTGGATAGTAGACTGGGGTGATGTTTAGAAATATTATGTTTGGCTGTCAAGCATGTGAATGTCCTATGTTTAGAGAATCTCCCATCTCATATTTTTTAGGGAATCTACTTGAGGATATTCACAATGCTAGACATTTGCTTTTGCACCTTTCTTGAAGCAGATGTGGACACAAATAGTTGTGCTTACCCCAGACATCGAAGCAGAAACTCGTGAAGGGGCTCCAAGGTGAACCCATCCCAGTAAAGGGTGGTGGAAGTAGTCATAGAACATTTAGGGCACAAGGCCAGCATTTCTGAATATAGTTCCTTGATGTCCATTATGTGGAGGATGGAGATGGAAACATGAGCTCTGTGTAGAGTTGTTTTGAAACTGTCTCTTCACCTGATTAGTTCTGTCCCATGGTTTTGGTTCATAATTTCATTAGGGATCTATGGCCATAGTGAATTACCCCCAAATTTAGCACTGTAAAACAACAATTTTCCTACAGTTCCTATAGGCAGGAAGATGTGTGTGGCTTGGCTGGACCTTCTGCTGAGTGACAGAGATGTCAGCCAGGACCACAGTTACTTCAAAGCCCAGTTGGGACAGGCTCTGCTTCCAGGAGCATGCAGCAGTTGTTACTGGGAGAGGCCTCTCTCAGTTCCTTACTGTGTGGGTTTCTACATAGCACACCTCACAATGAGGGGGTGGGGAAAGAATATGAATCCCACCACTTCTTCTGTATTCTCTGTTAGAAGTGAGTTAATAGGTCCAGTCTACATTCAAATGAGGGGTGTTTAGAAGGCATGAATACCAAGCAGTGGAAGACATGGGCTGCTGTTTTAGAAGATGCCTCCCGCAGTAGCCATGGATACTTAGCCTTGGAGCCTGTCTCTGCCCACCATTACCCTCTAGAAGATCCTGGGAGCACTCAGTATTATATTAATATCCCTTACTGCTTGCAAGGAAGGAGCCTATTGGTGCAGATAGCTACCCTAGAGACCCGTATCAGGGTACAGGGCCTTGTTTTCTGCTGCTCTTTCTGATTTACTTTTTCAGAATATAAATTAGGAAATGTAGAAGAGAAAATAACTATTACCCAAAATATTCCTACCCAGAGATAATTACTCCTGACAATTGATTATATTTCTTTCCAAACTTTTCCTTTGTGTTTATACATATTTCTTTGTGTTATATAAACACAAAGGAAAATATGCAAGATTGTATTTTGTATGTACACTTGGTCCCCCATATTGGAAGATTCGACCAACCACAGATCAATAATAATTTTTAAAAATTCTGTGTCTCTACTAAATATGTACAGACTTTTTTCCTTATTATTTCCCAAACAATATGATATAACAACTGTTTACAGAGCATTTACATGCTATTAAATTCTACACATAATCTAGAGATGATTTAAAGTAAATAG